CTTAATACTGTTTGTTTCTGCTTCTTCTTCTTATTTTTAGATGTCTTTTTTCTTCTCATTCCCATACCTAATTTTGATTTGACCTTCATTGTACCAGATATAGCTAAAGCAGCAGCTTTTTCACCTACACTGGAATCGTTAGCTAAAACTCGTTGCCACGCCTTATCAGCTAAAATCCTATCAGCAGCGTTTCTTGCTTGAACGTTATTACGATTCTCTGAATATGCAATATCGTGCTCTTTGCAAGCTTCGTCTAATGGATTTATACCTGTATCACCTCGTGCTAAACGCTTTATCAATTTAGTACCTGGACCACAGTATTGATAACCAGGTATGTGTAATTCAAATGGTAACTTATTTATAAGACTGTTAACTAAACCTTTACCTCGGGAGCGGTGATGTATAATCATACCTCACTCTATGAAAGTTAAAAGTAGAATGACTCGTAAGCTATATAAGGGCTGTATTTATACCTTTTGCGGCAGTCTATTTCAGAATGCGATTCAAGCAACAACATCACAAGCTTCCAGTCGTGAATCTAGATGCGATTGTAGAACAGTACGATAAGAAGCAAGTGAAGCGTCATGGTAGTTTGTTGTCTGGTAGTATTCGTGCAATTTTTTGTGGACCATCAAATTGTGGTAAAACAAATGTACTACTTTCTCTAATTTTACATCCAAATGGTCTGAGATTTAATAATATTTATCTCTACTCAAAATCTCTTCACCAACCAAAGTACAAATTTTTGGAAAAAGTTATAGGTAGTGTTAAGGGAATTAAATATTTACCATTTAGCGAGCATGAAGATGTAATTTCCCCAAAAGGTGCAAGGCCAAATTCTATTTTTATATTTGATGACGTAGCTTGTGAAAAGCAAGATAATATAAGAGCTTTCTTCTGCATGGGTAGACATGTCAATGTTGATTGCTTTTATCTCTGTCAGACATATGCGAGGATTCCCAAACATTTAGTAAGAGATAATGTTAATTTATTAGTTCTTTTTCGTCAGGATGAAACAAATTTAAAACATGTGTATGATGATCATGTTAATACAGACATGACATTTACCAAGTTTCGTGAGCTTTGTTCAACATGTTGGAACTCTGATAAATATGGCTTCGTAGTCATTGATAAAGACTGCAATCTGAATGAGGGGAGATATAGGAAAGGTTTTGACTGCTTCATAACACTATAAATAGAAGGTGATTGGTTCCATGAGTATTAGTCTAGTGTACATCTTTGAACTAACAACATGTTTCGTAAGGAGAAAGAGTATCTCCGCCAAATTGCCAAAGCTAGTGAGGCCATTAGACGGAAACATCGCATGTTAAAAATTGGAAAAGAAGCTGTTGAAAATGTTTTGAGTGAAACTTTTAAACCTATAGTTCAACCCTTAGAGAAAATTGTTAACCTCTCTGATGTTAAACATGAAAATCATAAGATAGAAAAGAAGGAGGAGGTAATTAAAAGTAAAGATGAATTAGATGATAGTATGAATTTTTTGAGTGCTGATGAAGATGAAACATCAGTAATTCCAGGCTTTGAATATGATAAAGTAGTTAATAAATATATATACTTGCTAGATCATAATAGAAAGCAATGTTTAGATACGTTGTACGGAGTATATAAGGTTAAAAATGGTTCTCTCAAGATTGGTGATGCACCAATAAGTTTTAAAGATCACTTAATAAATGTTGGTGATAAACGTTTTAATATTACTTCCGGTTTATTGGAACTGTTATTTAAAAATAAACCTGAAATGTCATACATTAGCGATGATGATATGAATAATTATAAACAAATTCTCATCATCTCCAATGCTCACAGAAAAAATTATAGTTCTTCTGAACCTATACGTACAAGTAAAACTTTTAAATATGGCAATATTATTTTAAAACTTTTTCCTCATAATGAAACACCAAAAAGACGATCGAAAACTGGCACTTCACTACCACATTTTATGATTGCAAAAAAAAGTTTTCAACCAGACTATATCTATTGGGATGATCCTAACGAATTGGTTGACCGTCTTCGATTGCTTATGGCATCTCAAGCAGCTGGGAATCCCAGTCACAATAATGAAATTATGTCAATCATAGAAGAATTACGTGAAGCGCAAATTATATATTGAAAATTATTGTTTCATTTAGTCAGGCTCAAGAAAAGTATATAAGGAGGTGTTCCATCAACTTTCTCTCAGTCTTAAGATGAGCATTGACGTGTTCGGACATCCTCTTAATGAAAGAGGAATTGTAAGGGTCGCAAGAGGACCTCCAGGTCCACCTGGAATTGGTTTTAAAATTAACTCAGAAGGTCACTTCGACTTACAGGGTAGAAAAATTTCCAATGTTGCTGATGCAAAAGAAAAAACTGACGTAGTTAATTTACAACTTGCACAACGTTTAGTCGAAAACGAGTTAAGACTAATATATCAAGTAACGTCTTCACTGCGAAAAGAAATTGACAATAACTATATATTATTAAAAATTCTCGAAGACTCTATAAACGAAAAAATAAAAGTCTTGGAAAGAGAAGTAAATACTGATTTATCATATCGAAACGCTGAAATTATCAGTCAATTGGATGCTCGTTTGAGTACTCTAGAAAATGAACGACAAAAAGAAAACAGTAGTGACTGAACTTCATAGTCAGGCAAGGAGGAATTATCATCGCCGCCGAGTCGACATGCGTGATATTGATGAGACTTGGCAAGCAGATTTAGTAGAAATGTTACCTTATTCCAAAGTAAATAAAGGTTTTAAGTATTTACTAACAGTTATAGATATATTTTCCAAATACGCTTGGGCTGTTCCTGTAAAAAGTAAAAATGGAAAAGATGTCACTAACGCTATGAAATCCATATTCATAGAAGGACGTATTCCAAAAAATCTACATTCTGATAAAGGTAAAGAATTCTATAATTCTCAGTTTGAAGCTTTAATGAAAAAGTATAAAATTAATTTCTACTCAACATTCAGTAATTTGAAAGCATCTATTGTTGAACGATTTAATCGAACTCTAAAACGAAAAATGTGGATGCAATTCAGTCTACGTGGAAATTATAAATGGTATGATATATTACCTAATCTTATTTCCAATTATAATAACACTAAACATCGGACTATTGGAATGAAGCCGAAAGATGTTACTGCAGAAGATGTTGAGATTTTGAAAGAAAGATTTTTGAAGCTAAGAAAAATACCTTTAAAGAAAGCAAAGTTTAAAATTGGTGACAAAGTTCGAGTTAGCAAGTATAAAAGCGTGTTTGAAAAAGGTTACACTCCCAATTGGACAACAGAAATATTCACAATAGATCAAGTCTTGTCAACTAAACCTATAACTTATAAACTCAAAGACTATCAAGATCAACCCATTAGTGGAGGATTCTATGCAGAGGAACTTCTTAAAGTAAAATATGCAGATATTTATCTGGTTGAAAAAATTCTCAAGACACGTGGAAATAAAGTTCTCGTCAAATGGCTTGGCTTTGATAACTCTCACAATACTTGGGAAGAGAAAGCAAATTTATAATTTAAATCAAAATTTATTCTAATAATAAACATTGACAATGCCAAATTCAAATATTAATCTCAAAATTGAAACAAGCAGAAATCAATTTGAAACAATTATCACAAAGTGAATTTAATACTCTCTATAATGTAACTGTTTAATAAAATATAATTTAAACATTATTGTAGAACTCTAGTCCTGGAATAAAATCTTCCACAGAGTGCAACATACTTTCATGATATGCACGTTGTAATTTTACATAATTTAAGGTTAAATCAACAATGAATCAACAATGAATCAACAATGAATCAACAATGAATCAACAATGAATCAACAATGAATCAACAATGAATCAACAATGAATCAACAATGAATCAACAATGAATCAACAATGAATCAACAATGATTTAACCTTAAATTATGTAAAATTACTACGTGCATATTATGAAAGTATGTTGCACTTTGTCGAAGATCTTATTCGAGGACTAGAGTTCTACAATAATGTTTAAATTATATTTTATTAAACAGTTACATTATAGAGAGTATTAAATTCACTTTGTGATAATTGTTTCAAATTGATTTCTGCTTGTTTCAATTTTGAGATTAATATTTGAATTTGGCATTGTCAATGTTTATTATTAGAATAAAATTATAAAAAGCAATTTTTTATTAATATTTAAATTAAATCAATTTTAATTATGAGTTATGTATATACAAGGTTTTTATAAATAAAAAAATACATAAAATTTATAATATTTTTTTACATTTATTTAACATGAAAATCCTTACATTTTATTTTACAAAAATATTTACAATTCTTCGATTTCTGGGATCCTGTAGTGACCCCAGGGTAGAGTATCGGTACTCTCGGTAAGCAAGTATCTTTTATCGTCATATGGACTTAATGCTACTTTAACTTGTTTAACAGTTTCTATATTATGTAACCGTGACCTAATGTTGTATTGAGTTCTAGTCTGAATCTTAAAATCACGCAAGCATTCAACGTAATCGTCAAAATGAATAGACTTTTTGACGACTCCCGCTTAAATCCACATAAATCGGTTTATTGAGTAGGACCTCAGTCTTTCATAATTCGATGGCCACAAGGTCTTCATCGAATATTGCACGACTGTGGAAATTGGGCCGAGAGATGAGGGCTTCGGCACCATATCTGCCGAACCAGTGTGTAACCAATTTAATGTTTACATGCTTGCGAACATTTTCCATGGTCTTACCATACATTGCGTTATTCATTAATTTGAATAAATTCTTTTCAAATTCATTTTTTTGCAGTTGTTCGCATGGCAGTATTATAGTCTATATAGGGTTTCAACCATTGTGATTGGTACAATAGCATATATATTTAATACTCTGAACTTTTCACGCATGTGTAGATAGAGACTAACTCTTACTGCGCATGCGCAAAGAGATGAGTCGAGGAAATTTTTTTATTTATTTATTTTATTTATTTTTTTTATTTATTTATTTATTTATTTATTTATTTTTTTTTTTTTTTTTTTTTTTTTTTTTTTTTTTTTTTTTTTTTTTTTTTTTTAATCCAAAAAGCTATGAAGCCATCGTCGTAGTCACGACCGCCGTCACCCTCACCACCACCGTCCTGGTAGTAAGAATATACCCACCGGTGGGAAGGTGATGGCGGTGGCGATGAGTGTGCCGGTAGTGGAAGCTACGACGATGGCGGCGATGATGGCGGTGGCGATGGTGGCGGCGCCTTGGAATTACCACCACCGGCAACTCCATTTGAGTCACCCAGGAGTTGGGAGACTCTGGAATGGGAGTTCCCCCTTCCCCTGGTGGTGGAGTTTGGAACTAAAAAGAAAAAGAGTTAATTTCAAATTTAAATTTTGAAAATTAATTATACTTACTGCCGGTGGTGGCTCCTCATTATCTTCCCCCGCAGACAGCTCATAGAAGCCTTCATCCACTTCTAGACCCCCTTCTGCGGGGGAATTGGGGGGAGTTTCTAGAAGATCATATTCTCTCTAAAAATATATTATATTTTATATTATATTTTATATTATATTTTATATTATATTTTATATTATATTTTATATTATATTTTATATTATATTATATTTAATGAGTAATTATTATGTACTTACATTTCTCAATCGCTCCTCAATACACTGCCAGCAGTAGCACCTTTCCATTTTAGGACTGCTCTCGTGGCTCATCTAGAACAGATTATGACGATCCACGAGAGCAGTCCGACTCTTATAGGCAGTACCCCACCACTACCGCAGGCACGGAGAGGGGCGCGCCGATGCCGGGTGGGGGATACTACTCGCGCGGCTCCACTAGCGTGGCACCGTACGCAACTAGCTCGCACGCTCGGTCGACCAGTTACCAACTATCGACCGAGCGAGAATTTTACCATGAGGTAAAGAGCGCAGCACTGTTGCGTGGAAATAAATTTAAAATAATATCTAAAAATACAAAGTCGATAAGAAAGGTAAGCGCCACCTATCGGGTAAACTAAGTCGGTCGGTAAAACAGTTTTAATTAAAAAATATTTTTTTAAAAAAAGTTGATAATAAAAGTGAGCGCCATCTATTGGGTGGTCGGTAAACTAATTCAGTAAAAAAGTTTAAAACCACAGACTGAAGTGAGCGCCATCTATTGGGTGGTCGGTAAACTAACTTCAATGTTCAATAAAACAGGTTAATTAAAGTCGGCAACACACTCTGAGGTGAGCGCCATCTATTAGGTGGTCGGTAAACTAATTCAGTAAAAAATGTTAAAAACAACCGACTGAAGTGAGCGCCATCTATTGGGTGGCGGGTAAACTAATTCAGTAAAAAAGTTTAAAACCACAGACTGAAGTGAGCGCCATCTATTGGGTGGTCGGTAAACTAACTTCAATGTTCAATAAAACAGGTTAATTAAAGTCGGCAACACACTCTGAGGTGAGCGCCATCTATTGGGTGGTCGGTAAACTAACTTCAATGTTCAATAAAACAGGTTAATTAAAGTCGGCAACACACTCTGAAATGAGCGCCATCTATTGGGTGGTTGGTAAACTAATTCAGTAAAAAAGTTTAAAACCACAGACTGAAGTGAGCGCCATCTATTGGGTGGTCGGTAAACTAATTCAGTAAAAAATGTTAAAAACCACCGACTGGAGTGAGCGCCATCTATTGGGTGGTCGGTAAACTAACTTCAATGTTCAATAAAACAGGTTAATTAAAGTCGGCAACACACTCTGAAGTGAGCGCCATCTATTGGGTGGTCGGTAAACTAATTCAGTAAAAAAGTTTAAAACCACAGACTGAAGTGAGCGCCATCTATTGGGTGGTCGGTAAACTAATTCAGTAAAAAATGTTAAAAACCACCGACTGGAGTGAGCGCCATCTATTGGGTGGTCGGTAAACTAACTTCAATGTTCAATAAAACAGGTTAATTAAAGTCGGCAACACACTCTGAAATGAGCGCCATCTATTGGGTGGTTGGTAAACTAATTCAGTAAAAAAGTTTAAAACCACAGACTGAAGTGAGCGCCATCTATTGGGTGGTCGGTAAACTAACTTCAATGTTTAATAAAACAGGTTAATTAAAGTCGGCAACACACTCTGAGGTGAGCGCCATCTATTGGGTGGTCGGTAAACTAACTTCAATGTTCAATAAAACAGGTTAATTAAAGTCGGCAACACACTCTGAAGTGAGCGCCATCTATTAGGTGGTCGGTAAACTAACTTCAATGTTCGGTCGGTAAAACAGTTTCCTACCTTATCGGTCGAGTTGAAATTTTTGTCAGATTCCTACCTTACCGACTGCTGATAAAGTAGAAATCTGCATTACCGACCGAGCAGTTACCGACTGCAGGTACTTAGCCGAGATCAGAACCTGGGGTAGAAGCCCCCTTGTTATACTACTTTTATGTGTTCTTATTTTTATTTTCTTGAAAAATACAACGAATTATACCCAAAAATTACTCTCAAATCTAAATTTATTAAATCTTTTGAAGGTTTATTCATTATTGACCCCTCACTCCCAATAAATTTAAATAAGGAAAAGGATTTAATACCATTTTTCGGAATAGATTATTCAAAATCTTGTTCACTCAGAGACAATACTATTGAAACAATAGGCTTAACTAATATTCCAATTAATTATACAATTTTCGAATTTCATGTTATTAAACATCAAGGATTAACGGATATAGTTGGCATTTTAGGATTACCTTTCAATCTAAATATTATCAATAAATTTTAATGAAAATTGGACCTAAAAATTCAGATATGGCTAACAGTGAGGAAAATTTAGCAGGTACTATTAACCGAAGTTTAAATGATGCTATGGTAACATCTATGGCAGAATGTTTTGCCTTACAACAGGGTATTATGCACATTCCTTTTTACGATGGAAAAAATATTCCTGTAAGAGATTTTATTCAAGATATTATTAATGGAGAATCTAGCATTCCCGTAAATTGTGAAGATCAATATATTAAATCAGTTTTATCGAAATTAAAAGGTGCTGCTAGAGACAGCACCCATGGTTTAAAATTTTGAACTATTGATGAACTTATAAAACACTTGTAACAAAGATTTGCCCCTAAAAAATCTTATTCTTGGTATTTGCATGAAATATCCACTATTCGTATGGGTCGCAGTGAATTCTATGACAGATTAACCCTTTTATTATCCGGAGCAAGGGCTGCCCTAGAAGAAAATTATGACGCAGACAAAATAGAAAATATGACAGAACCCTTAAATGATTGCGCCCTAGAAGCTTTCATAAGAGGACTTCCAGATGCTATTTCTAGTATGATAGAAGCTCGGGATCTTAAAAAAATCGATGACGCGTTTAAAGCAGCTCTGTAATACGAATCTCGACATCAACATCAGTTACATAACTACAATAATACTTATCATTTATCAAGATATCACCAGCCGAGTGATTATCGAATGCGAAATACAGAATACGAACCTCGAAATAGAAGTCCCAGCCCCCATGTATGCTTCAACCCCACAGAAGATAAATCAAAATATCGATCCCAATCTCCAGTTTCACAAGGAATTTTAAAACATCCATATAATTCCCTACCATCAGGATCTAACTATTATCCACCATATCCTTATTTTTCACCTCCTGAAATTAATTCACATCCATATATACCATACAACAACCCTTATCCATATTACTCACCTCCTCAAAGATCAGAAGGACTTAAAACAAACCCATACGTAGGCACTAGAACACCACCACGTGCTCAATCCCCAGCACCATCAAATGAAAAGAATTTAAACTTTACCCAAGCTCGACGAACAGACGCGACGACGAGCTCCGAAAAACAAGAGCGTCAAGCCAATGTAATGATGCTTCGAAAACAAGAACTATCTTGCAAACAAGAACAAATAAAGAATCCCCAGTAATCACTCTAAAATCTCCTAGTTTCACAGATTCTACTGCTCTATTGTTAATAGATACAGGAGCAGATGTTAGTTTGATTAAATTACGTGTTTTACATCCTACATTAATAGTTGTACAAGACGAAGGTATTCAAATAACAGGAATAACCCCTACAAAAATTTCAACATTAGGAACAACAAAAATATTATTAGATAAAAAGTTAGTAACATTTCAAGTCGTACCTTCTGATTTCCCCATACAATCCGACGGAATACTAGGCAGAGACTATCTTAGAGAAGAAAAAGCGGCAATCTCATTTTGGCACAACACTATTGTTACAGTATCTAATCCAATAAAACCTATTTTGTTCATAGATAATGAATCAACTCAAGCTAGAGAAATTTTAGTAAACAGTAAAGAAAATCAAAATAAAGATCTAATTATTAAAGCCAGAACTAGACTAGGGTTGGAAAGTCTGAAAAAAATCGATTTTCGATTATTCGAAGCGATCTTTTCTTTTATATTATCAAAATCGATTATCCGATAGAAAAATTCGATTTTTCGATTTTTTTTAAAAGTTAGAAAATAAGTAGACACTTTTTTATGAAAGTATTTATTTTATTTTAGACTTTTTAAAATTTTCAATTTCAATGATATATATTAAATATATATTAAAATATATACTTTTAAATACAAAAGACTAGTAATAATACTGAGATCATGAAATTTTTAATTTAATGATCGAATCACTTTTCAACTAAAAATCAATGAAAGGAGAATATCTTCGTGTATAGTTATGTACTTATGTACCTACATACTGAAATCATCTAATTTTAAATTACTCGGTGGCATTGTTAAACTAAAACATAGTAAATACAGCAAAATACTGCTTGACAAAAAAAATAAAATTTGTAACTTTCATTATCATAGTTTTTTAGGTTAGCGTGGTAAACTACATCTACAAGCACTCTATCGCAACGGCAGCTAACCTCAACTCAAAAGATCACACCAGAACGCAAGTTTTCTCAAATTTTTTGTCCGATCTATTTTATTTTACAAATTACATACTTACTCTTACATACGAACTATGCGTTCGCGTAAAACTATGTAATGTAAGCGTCGCACCGGACAAAAAGTTTTCGTGAAAATATATCTGTGTGTGTAGAAGCTGTGAAACGAAGGAAAGAAACCTAAAATCGATAATCGACCACAAATAATCGATTATCTGTCGATTATCGCAATTGACAATCGATTGTAAAAATCCGATTTCTGATGTCCGATAATCGAATTTCGATTGAAATCGATTTTTCCAACCCTAAACTAGACAAGTTATCCCAAAAGAAGTAACTAATAAAGAAATAAAAGAAGGATATCTACCTTTAATTAAAACAACTGATGGATTAATAATAGGTGAAGGAGTAGTAACAAACAAAAATGGACTTTGCCATATACTAGCAATAAATACAACACTTGAGGATATAGAAATAAAAATTCCATCCCAAGAACTAATTCCATTCAAATATTATAAATTTCCGGGTGAAGAATCTGACGATGAATTTTCAACTGACGAATGTGAAACTCCAACTGACAGAGTTACTGCAATCATTAACAATTTAAGACTAGAACATTTAAATTTAGAAGAACATGTCAAACAATTAGTACAAGAATTCCCTGAAAGCTTTCATCTTCCAGGTGAACACTTAACTCCAACGAATCGTGTAAAACATAAAATCATTACAATAGATGAAATACCCATTCACACAAGATCATATAGATTTTCACCTGCCCAAAAAAAAGAAATAGATAAAGTCATAGAACGAATGCTTTCCGAAGGTGCCATAGGTCCTTCCTCGTCACCTTACAACTCACCATTGCTCATAATCCCAAAAAAAATTGATGGGACTGGAAAAAAGAAATGGAGGATTGTTATAGACTTTAGGGCCCTAAATGAAAAGACCGTGGGGGACTTTTACCCCCTTCCGAATATCACAAGCGTGATCGATTCATTGGGCCGGGCTCAATATTTTTCAGTTTTTGATTTAGCTAGTGGTTTTCATCAAATAGAGTTAGATCCTAATGACCGACAGAAAACCGCATTTTCAACTGTACACGGACACTATGAATATATACGAATGCCTATGGGGCTAAAAAATTCACCATCTACCTTTCAAAGACTCATGGATCAAGTACTGGTTGGCTTACAAGGAGTAGAATTATTTGTCTATTTAGACGACATAGTAATCTATGCAGAAAATTTAGAAGAACATGGTAAAAAGGTAAGAAGATTATTAAAAAGACTTAAAGAAGCAAATCTAACACCTGAGAAATGCGAATTTTTATTTAAAGAAGTAGCTTATTTAGGTCACATAATTACCAGCGAAGGAGTCAAACGTAACCCGAAAAAGATTGAAGCAGTAGAGCATTTTCCAACCCCAAAAAATTCTAAAAATGTAAAACAATTTCTTGGTTTAGCCGGATATTACAGAAGATTCATAAAAGATTTTTCATCCAAAGCAAAACCTTTAACGAATTTACTAAAGAAAGATATTAAATTTATTTGGGGACAAGAACAAGCAGAAAGTTTTAAAGAATTAAGATCAGCCTTATGTACTAGTCCTATATTACAATATCCTGATTTTAGTAAAGTCTTTACTATAACCACAGATGCATCCCACTACGCCGTAGGTGCTGTACTAAATCATAATGCAGATGCGCTTTCTAGAAACCCAATAGAACAACCTATAGAAAATAATAACAAAAAAACAGCTAGAATTCTTATAGAAACCAGACAATCGAACAAATCAAAGATTCCACCACCTGCATCTGCACGAGGCAGAAGAACAAATTTACCGTCCACTAGTACAGAAAAAACAACATCTTCAACACGACCAAAAAGAACTCTTCCACCATCAACCAAACCTTCAAAAATTTCCCAACCAAAAACACTAACTAGACCTTCAACATCAACACAAAAATTAGAAACAAGCTCCATCGCTCAGCGAGTAACAAAAAGACGACAAAGAGAACAATCAAAAATAATGAAAGACTATTTATCCAGTTCAGAATCAGATATTGAAGAAATAATTCCTCCTATAAAAAAGAAAAGTACAAGTGTTTTACCAAGCCTTGCTATATCAACACCACCTTTATATGATCCACATGCACCACGAAATGCATCTCCAGAAATACCAATCAGTAAAATTGAAATACCCCATGAAAATATCATCTCAGAAAAGGAAATAGTACAAACTATCAGCCCACCATTAAGCGAAAGTGAGGATAGTTCATCGGAAGAAGAAAATCTTCACGCAAAAACTAAAGAAGAAATTGCAGAAGATTTAGAAAATTCAATAGCACAATTTAATAAATCATTGGCAGAACACGAAAATTGGTTTAAAAAAAAGAATTACCACCAAGAGATTGGCATAATCTTTTTGTCGGTGAAGATGATCCTATGATTCATGAAGCTGCCAATACACATATACCTGGCAACTATGTAGAATTTTCCAAAAAAATAGCTGAAAAATTAACTAATGCTCAGAATAAAATAATAGAAAAATTAAATAACTCGCCAGAAAAACCAAACACAACCGAAAAAATTGAAGAAAATACCAATAAAAAAATGTTACTTTTGAAAACCAATCTAAAAGAGCAGTAACACCATTAAATTTTGACAGGCCACTTGCAATATCTACACCCTATTCACCAATACGTGAAGAATCATCATCTGAAGAATCTGAAGAAATCGAAAAACAAAGGGAAGACGAAAAAGAAAATACTCCACAAAACAAAGAAATACAACAAAAATCAAAAATTCAAACTTCCATCACAAGCATCCCACCTGAAATATCTCTTATAACAAATGACAAAGAATTTTCTAATATAATCGGATGTAGAGAAAATTTAACCTATTATGAAAATAATTATGTTTATTTCATGTCCTCCGATTGCGAATTTACAACACCTATTAGTCGACTCCTTATCGATATTGGAGCAATCGACCCTCAAGAAATAAGACTCAAAAACCCAAAAAAAGGACAAATTTTAATTACTCCAAAAGGACGTTATAACATTTACACATTAATTGTAAAACATAAATATTTTGATCAGCTTCTTAAAGAAGATGTACAAAATATTTTACAAAATTTAAAAATTACACTTCAACGAGATAACATAAAAGAAATAAGAATTTCTAGAAAAGGCGACTTAACAAACGAATTACTCAGAAATGAACTTTTACAGATACTAAACTTTGTCTTTCGAAATAACAATATAAAAATTACTTTATGCTACGGACAAGTTACTATCCCGAAAGAAGATATTCAAGAGAACATTATAAAAGAATACCAAACTAGTAAGATAGGAGGACACAAAGGAGTAACAAAAACTTATCGTAGAATACGCGAAAAATTTTTTTGGACAGGAATCAAGGACCAAGTGACCGAATTTATCAGAAAATGTCCCACTTGTCAAGAACAAAAATTAGTTAGAGCAAAAACTAAAGAACCAATGTTAATTACTGACACCCCCCTTGATGCTTTCGACAAAGTTTCACTAGACACCGTCGGAAAACTACCCACAACCCCAGATGGCAATTCCTACATTCTAACAATGCAAGATCACTTATCGAAATATTGCATAGCAGTAGCAATCCCCGATATTTCAACCAACACAATAGCACACGCAGTAGCAACTGAATTATATTCAAAATATGGAGCCCCAAAAACTATTCTAACTGACAAAGGAACAAGTTTTATAAGCAAACTCATGAGAAAGTTATCAAAAATTTTTAAGGTACAACAAGTAACAACATCCGGATACAGACCACAAACAAACGGAAGTTTAGAAAGAAGTCACATAGTTCTTGTAGATTTTTTAAAACAATATTCAGAAAATTACGATGATTGGGATAAATTATTACCGTTTGCAATGTTCGCTTATAATACATCAGTTCATGAAGCAACAAATTTCACACCTTTTGAACTAGTATTTGGAAAAACTGCTAGGACCCCTAGTTCCTTTCCACCAAAAGAAAAATTAGAAACCTATGGATCATATTTAATTGAATTAATAACAAGACTAACAGAAATAAAAAATCTGACGGCCAAAAATCTTATAAAATCCAAAATTAAATCCAAAGAAAATTATGATAAAAAATCAAAACCCTTTTTCGGAAAAATAGGTGACAAAGCTTATGTTTTAAGAGAGGTAAAGAGAAATAAATTCGATCCCTATTATCATGGACCTTACGAAATAGTGGATATTCTAGATAAAAATACCGCTATTTTAATCACAAATGACGGTCAAAGGTTCCAAAAACATATAGATAAATTAAAATTAGCATTTGAATAAAAATAATGACATTATTTTATGTATTATAGATGGCTGAAATAATACTTCGAACGCCACCTCTTCAAGGAGAACTAATAAATATAAATATATTTCCAAAAGGAAATATTGACGACATCCGTCACCCAAAAGGAATACTCAAAGAATTAACTGCCGAATATAATTTAGAAAAGCCTGTCTTCCAATTAGAAAATGTAGTAGGCCCTTCACATAACAGACGCTATGACATAAAATGTACTGTAAAAGATTTGAAATATGGTAACACTTTTGTTGCTATCCCAATTTTACGTATGAATTTCGTAACTTCTTATTAATAAATTATTAACATTATTAATAATTCATTAATACAATACTTTAAAAAAGAGGGACACAAATATGCAACTCAAGCAAATAACACTTTATAAACATTACAAGAAATGCCTTTGGAATCTCTGAGAGATGTCCAAATAATTTGTAACGTGGTAAATAGACGTTCCTGTCCTCGACCGGCGGGTAAAAGTGAAGCCCCCTTTTATTAATAAACTAAAGGGGTAAAACTTAAATAATTAATAAGAAATAAACACCAAATAATAATTGAGATTAATCAAGGATCCGAGAGCATACTCCAATAATAAAAAATAAGAATTTTACTGCCGCTATTAAAACTTTTAGATTGTCGCATCCAAGACGCGCAATATGCGGTTTATATAAAAGGCCCTCAGAAGGAGCGAGAAGGGTCAGAGTAGTGGCTTGCGGACGAGGCGACCAGAATGCAGACCAGGCGACCATCCACGCGGACCGCCAAATAAGGGAGATTATTCTCTCACCATTTCTCTGATTATTACTTATTACACTGCTCCATGGTTCATCCTGCCGCCATTTCATTCGATCCAAAATTAGCCACTGTCTCAGAGAAACCGATATTGTAAACTGCGCCTGCCTGTTCGCAACCCGACTTCGTTACTCGAAGGCGTTCGCGCGCCCTTGATTACCGATGCGGTTGCTTCCATGCTTCAATCTAACTGAACCTGACGAGCGGCCTCATGGCGCTCGTCCTTCACGTTTTTACTGTCGAAGAGGCAGGACGTCTTTCAGACTATTAAAAATAATAAATTATAAAAATACAAAATTTATCAGTCGTACGCTAAAAGCGAATTGTTGCTGAGATTGGAATTATGGCAGTAAGTCAGAACATTTAACTTTTAAATGATTTAAAATCTAAAATTAAAATTTTAATTGTTAACCTAACTTTTGCTCTCGGACCCAAGATGGTCCTCGTTCATTCGCTCTTATTTTGAATTCTCTAAATAAATGTTATTTTGTGTTTGTTAAATGGCTTATTTCATTTGAGTTACCACTCGTTCCCACTCGATGTTTTCCTCTGAAAATTCTCAGTTATAAATATGGTTTAATTATAATTATTTGATTTTATAATATAATAATAATTATCATTAATAATACCAGGCGCGCTCTCACTTAATCGCGCCTTATAATCTTTCGCCACATTGACTTTTCCCGAGTCGACTAGTATTGTTAAATTTTATTTTATACTTCGATTGTTTATTTAATTTATCAAAACCTCGTGGCGACAGGTTATAAATGGCGCCCAACAAATAAGTGGTAACTCAGGGAAATAAACATGAAGTAACATTTATTTCTACTCTTTTATACTATACATTTATTTCAATAAAACGTTCTCCTGGAAAATTCCTTTCCTTCAAACTAAAAATTTCATTCATTTTGTACATTTACTCCAAGTGAAAACAGTGTTTCCCATTCACTAATACAATGAAATAGTGCCGTGAGAATAGAAGACGCGAGACACATACACACTCAATCGCGTACAGTGCCTTGCTCATACATACACTCTCTCGCGCGCGCCGCACAGTGCAACAGACAGAGAACTACCTTTCTCTCTCACACCTCAGCGAAGTACCAGCGCGACGGACTCTCAGCAGTTGCCGCCATCTTGCCTCGCCAACCCTCTCCACTCGCGACGCGTAACGCAACAGACAGAGAGCTACCTTTCTCTCTCACGCCAGTGCGAACCATCTGCGCGACCGGTTACAAATGACAGCAATTATTCACATGCAACGGAACACTCTCGCGCACTACACACACTAGTTCACACTCTGTACTATAGCTATACTCTTTATACAGCACGCCTGTCAAATCGACTTTACGTGAAGCATTCGATTAAAAATTATTATAAATAATCGAGCCAAAGTGAATAAAATCACTTTAATTAATCGTTTCAATGTCTTAAAGTTCTTGATTGATATTATTTACAATCAATTACAAATTGACTATTATTTTGTCAATATCAATTGAAACTGATTGGTATTTCGATCAATTAAAAATTTTTAATATTATTGATTGACACTACCGTTCAATAATTACTAAATATTGAAAAATAAATTTTAAATTTTCTATATATAGTTATTGAAGAAAAAAAAAAAAAAAAAAAAAAAAAAGAATTTCTTTTATATTATTTAATATTAAATTGATGAAAATTTTATCCGAAATGTCGACTTTAAAAGAAAGACTAACTTGGCTCTTCACCCTCAATGAGACCGATCTCAGGCGCCTCGCATTAGAATTTTACGTGAACCCGGCCGACTCTCTTCCGATTCTCCGTGATCGCTTAATTCGCTTCCTTCACAGGCGCGAAGGAGAAATCAACATCCCCTGGGACATTACCGATATTTACTCCCCAGAACATGTGAGAGACGATCGCTCTCTAAGTGAAATCATTAAAGGGCCAAACAATTTACCATCGATATCTCAAGATTTAATTCATCATAGAGAAAATTCTTATACCCCCACGACGACTAGTTCCACGACTACAACAACAACCACGGTGACCACCACAACAACGGCCGCGCATACCATGCACCAACATAATGCAACGCATGCAACAACGTCGCCACCGTCGCGCATAAACACGTTTCCTACTGGTTCAGACATTGAGCATCCTTCGAACACCTTCAATCCACCTAACGAACCGAGTACGTCGCACTTTAGGCCTGATAATTACCTTCTCAACCCCACAAACGATTTTTTACACTCTTATGACCATACACCAAATTTCGTAAATCGCTTTAATTCAACGTCCAACGCGCAAGCAAACCCTCAAGCCCCCCAAATCCCTCAGCAACCACACAGCGCTCCACAACAACAAAACCCATTTCTTTACTCGGGCATAAGACAAAATACAGTTAATAAATATGACGTAGGAAGAATTGTCCAACAATGGCACATTCAATTCGACGGCTCCAGCAATGTGAGCGCGGAAAATTTCTTAACCCGCATCAGTGAATGCCGAATATTTTCCCCCCTCACGGACCTCGATATTATTGGTGCACTACCACTTTTATTGACAAACGTCGCGCTTATCTGGTATAGAAACTGTAGAGACCAAGGACGCTTATGGGACTCATGGGACGAATTTAAAGCGGCCTTCCGCTCGAGATTTGGAGTTGTAAATTTCGATTACCACATTCGTGACCAAATAAGGACGCGAACACAGGGCGCGAAAGAAAGAATCAAGGATTACCTCACATGCCTACAAGGCCTACACAATAGATTGAGTAGACCAGTCCTTACCGAAGAGCTCATCGATAACGCTCACCGCGGACTTAGACCAGAATTCAGACGTGTTATGAAACGTAACGATATTTTCTCCTTAGATCAACTTGCACAAATAGGTCAAGAGTGGGAAACAGAATGGTCTATGCTTAAAGACCATAAACTCCCACCCACACCGGTTGACTCATTTCTGCCCGAATATGCATGCGAGCTTACAACCAACAAGGGCCCAAGCGCTAAAGTAGCAGCAACAACTGCCGAACAAACCGCGCAACAACCCTCTGTTCCCTGCCACCCTAACTGCGCAGCAATAGCTCCTCAACAGCAACCAAAACCTAAGCAACAAAAGCAAGCTAAAAGCAAAGACAAAAAGGCGCGTCCTCCAGCAGCCCCAAAACCTGAAACTAATATTTCAGCCATTGAATCTGCCTCCACGCCGCCCCCAGACAGTGACAGCCTACAATGTAGAAATTGCCTATCTCATGGCATTCCAGGCCCCCACGGTCATCTTGCTCTCTCTTGCACTAAAGAGAAAATACTCTTTTGTTTCAAATGTGGTCGTTTAGGGGTAAAAACACCCGATTGCCCCACTCCTTTATGCAAGTCAAAAAAGAAACAGGGAAACGCAACAGGAGCTCAGTGAACAAGGTCGTCACTGGACTCCCCTCTAAACCCGCAGACCTACCCTCTTCTCAATCAACATTAACAAATTCTTCTTTGTTGTCGGAATCTGGGGGGGGAAGAGTGCCACCATTGCATCCGGATCTCGATCCCGAACAGACTTTGGTATTAGGATGTTCAGCGCTATCGAACGACAAACTCAACGAGCGTCTCTTTATAAAAATTGAGATAGCCGACAAAGAACTTAACGCTTTAGTCGACACAGGTTCGTCGCGATCTATTCTTAATGAAGAGGGCATTCGTCTCGCCGAACAATTAAATTTATCCTTAAATTCCTCCAATGTTAAAGCCTTAGTTTTTCCCAACGGCGGTTCACAAACCACCTTAGGCCAAGTCGACCTACCGTGCGAAATCGGTAACGTAACTAAAAATATTCCGTTCTTAGTAATGAAAAATTTTAGTTACGAGTGCATTTTAGGTATGGATGCCATCCGCACTTTCAAATTAATTCTTGACGGTAGTAAAAACTGTGTCAGATTAATTTCTGACGTTGAGAACTTCGCCCCAACAATAGAGTTAGCCAATTCTTCGAGCGACTCTAAAGGCGTAGGTTGCTCAGCCCTACGGGAACTAACTACAGAACAAATCGATTTAGTGGAACGGTTCTTGGAACTACATGCGCCTGTTCCAGACAAATTAGGCCGAACCCATTTAATCGAACACAAAATTGATGTAGGCGACCACCCTCCAATTAGGGCAAAATTTTTTAGACGGTCCCCTGCTATCATGGCCGAAATGAACAAGCTAATTGATAAGCTCATTTCACTCGATATAATAGAGCCCTCCAAGAGCGGATGGAACTCACGAATTGTAATGGCGCGAAAATCCGACGGCTCTTATAGGCTCTGTATCGACTATAGGGACGTTAATAAAGTCTCTAAAAAGGACGCATACCCATTGCCCTCGATGGCTAATATACTTGATACCCTTCAAAGAGCCAATCACATCTCCTCGATAGATCTCGATTCTGCTTTCCATCAAATTCCGTTGGAACTTCAGAGTCGAGAACTGACTGCCTTCTCAGTACCCGGCAGAGGGCACTTTCAATATAAGACCATGCCCTTCGGTCTTACTGGCTCTCCCGCAACGTTTCAGCGCCTTATTGACAAAATAATCGGCCCAGAGATGGAACCTTATGTGTTTGCCTATCTGGACGATATTGTGATAGCCACTGAAACGTTCGAAGATCACGTCAAGTGGGTGAAAGATGTCCTCCGGCGCTTAAAAGAAGCAGGCCTTACAATTAACCCCAAGAAGTGTAAATTCTTTAGGAGCGAAATCAAGTACTTAGGTTTCGTAGTGAACAACGAAGGAGTCAAAATTGACCCTGACAAGTTGGCCCCTGTACTCGATTACCCGCCCCCTCAGAACATTAAACAACTTCGCAGGTTTCTAGGCTTTGCCTCCTGGTATAGGCGCTTTATACCAAACCTCTCTACAGTCGCCGAACCTCTGACCTCTCTTTTGCGGTCAAACCAGTCTTGGAAATGGGACAAGGCGCAAGCCGAGGCTCTCGCTGCCATAAAGGAAGCTCTAACTTCAGCCCCCGTTGTAGCATGCCCCGACTTCACACAACCCTTCGTTCTCCAAACTGACGCGAGCGGAACCGGCCTAGGCGCCGTGCTAACGCAAGAGCAAGACGGAATCGAGCGCGTAATTTCGTACGCCAGCTGCACCTTGAGTAAAGCAGAAAGGAATTATTCTGCAACTGAAAGGGAATGCTTGGCAGTCGTGTGGGCCATTGAGAAATTCAGGGCATATTTGGAGGCGGATCACTTTACAGTTGTGACTGATCACCACAGCTTGAAGTGGTTGAAATCGCTTAAGGATCCGACGAGTAGGTTGGCCAACTGGTCCTTAAAGCTCTCCAAATATAAATACGACATACAGTACCGAAAAGGCTCGCTCAACGTAGTACCCGATTTCCTCTCGCGCTTAGACCAAGACGAGGAACCAATTTCCGCGCTACTAGAGACAGCAGACGAATGGTACCTTAAACGGAAAGCCGACGTGCAACGCCACCCTCACGCTTTTCCTAATTGGAAAATAGAAGACAATCTTCTCTTCCACCATGTCGTCAACACAATCATTGACTTTACCGTTCCCGACCTCGATGTCTGGAAGTTAGTCCTTCCCCGGGAATTACGCGCGAAAGCTCTCAGCGAGGCTCATGACGAACCTCAAGCTGGTCACCAAGGTACCGAACGTACCTACCAAAGGGTTGCGCTTCGCTACTACTGGCCTGGTTACTACAGGGACGTCGTAAAGTATGTCAAATCCTGTGAGATCTGCTCAATCACGAAGGTTGAGCAGAGAAAACCAATAGGTAAAATGGGACACCGCGTCGCGGAAGAGCCCTGGTTCATGATCGGTGCAGATGTCATGGGACCTTACGTTCGTTCGGGAAGATTTCAATACATCCTAATAATTCAGGACCTCTTTACCCGAATGATCGAAATTTTCCCCCTCGCCAAAGCCACCGGAAAAACCATCGCCGAATGCCTTCGCCAAAACGTGATAAACCGCTGGGGAGCTCCTTCCTTCCTACTTACGGACAACGGAACGGAATTTAATAATAAAACAATCGACACGCTATGCAAGGCCTATAACATTCGCGTGACTCGGACACCAAAGTACCACCCCCAATCAAACCCCGTAGAGAGGGTCAATAGGGTCATCAAAGGCATGATTCGCGCCTTTATTGATAAGACGCGACAACATTGGGAGCAGTACTTGCCCGAATTTAGGTTTGCGTTTAATACAGCCCAACACTCATCACTAAAAACAACACCGGCTTTCCTTAACATGGGACGAAACCCCTTGCCAACAGGCACGATATTCGAGGAACTCAGGAGAGAACCTAAACCTCCTCCGTGTACAGGAAATGTTGCTGAGTGGCACGAGCGCATGCGCAAAATCGAGGCCGTCCGAGACCTTGTCAAACTCCACATTGACAAATCTCACACACAACAGGCACATAATTATAATTTGCGCCGTAGGCAGCATACATTCGATGTCGGAGACCGAGTTCTCCAAAAGGACCGTACCTTATCTTCGGCCCAGAAAGGTATCACTGCCTCTCTGAATCCTCCCTACAACCCTGAGATCTTTGTTATCTCGAGGAAGATCTCAGACAACGTATTTGAATTGACGGATTGCACGGGAAAAATTCAACCCCTCTCTTTCCACAGTAAAGATTTAAAGCCAGTTTCCCTGGATAACCCAGCTGACTGACTTCATCTACGTTGCACAAAATTTTTTTTTACATTATTTAATATTCCATTACTGGAATCCTCCAATTTTTTTTTATTATTTTCTTTTAAATAGACAAGTGAGGAGCCAAAATTTTTCCCTTCAATGTCTCCTTACTCATCCCGTCTGTTTAAATATATTTTATTACTTTTCAAGTTCCAGTTATTTAAAATTGTGACACTAAACTTCACAATTAATGGAACAAAAATTTTTTTTTCCTTCAAATTTTGTTATTGTATTTGGTCAACCCTACATTCGAATTCCTCTCTTTTAGGAATCGAACGACCAACTACAACCAGAAGTACTGCCGTTCAACGGGGTACTAAGGGTGATGTACCCTCACATGATCTTCGGGCCATTTCCCGAAATCTTCTACGGCATCATCCCCGCAGACAGAGTATACGACTACCGAGGCCAGCGGCACCGCTTTCCCTCGGTAGCAAACTACCAACGTATACGCGACGACCCTGAGGCTAACGCCCTGCGTAGACCTGTGTCACCACCTCGGAGTGAAGACCCTCCAAGCGACACTGACAGCGAGAAAGAGCCGCAACAACACGCTAACGACCACCCTCACGAGCCCGATGACGAGGAAAGCCCACAAGTCGCCATTCCTCCAAGCAAGGTCATAGCCGAACTAGACCCTCTAAAACATCGACGCCACCGTCCAAGAGGATGTCGCGCCGGACGTAAAGTCCAAGATGCACGACGACGGGCAGCTGTACGCGCCGAGGAAGAACTGCTCGCACACTGGCGAGTTCGCGACACTGAACACTGGCACCACCAGAAATACCTCCGCGAGCTTCAAAAATGGGAACTCGCATCTGCGGCAGAAGCGCTCAGGCGTCGCTGGGCTGTGTCCCACGACATCACAGAGTGGGAGAAACTTCACGAAGAAGAAAATTTGGACCTTTGGTTCCCCCTTATTCTTCTCCTTTCCATTTTCTGTCTTCGTTAATCTCCTTATTTTATCCCCCACTCTCAATTAAGTTACAATTTTCTTCTTCTTTTGTGTTGCCAGATGGCCTATTAAAGTTAATTTTCAGTATTACCTTAATTACTACATTTTATCCTTCTTTTCTTCTCTTTTCTTTGTACTATGATACTTGAATAAACTTCTAACAAAAATTTTGCTTTATTTCTACTAGCAATAAGAAAAAAAAAAAAAAAAAAAAAAAAAGAAATTTATTTTCCTTCTATTAATTTTTTTTTAAGGAAATGCTCTTGGATCCGAGAGAAATCTTTATTTCATTTCTCTCTTAAAAAAAAAAAAAAAAAAAAAAAAAAAAAAAAAAAAATATAATAAAATTTTAATTCTCCGTTGAGTGTTCTGATTTCACCCTATACTCCGGTCTGGGGGGGGGTGTTGTAACGTGGTAAATAGACGTTCCTGTCCTCGACCGGCGGGTAAAAGTGAAGCCCCCTTTTATTAATAAACTAAAGGGGTAAAACTTAAATAATTAATAAGAAATAAACACCAAATAATAATTGAGATTAATCAAGGATCCGAGAGCATACTCCAATAATAAAAAATAAGAATTTTACTGCCGCTATTAAAACTTTTAGATTGTCGCATCCAAGACGCGCAATATGCGGTTTATATAAAAGGCCCTCAGAAGGAGCGAGAAGGGTCAGAGTAGTGGCTTGCGGACGAGGCGACCAGAATGCAGACCAGGCGACCATCCACGCGGACCGCCAAATAAGGGAGATTATTCTCTCACCATTTCTCTGATTATTACTTATTACACTGCTCCATGGTTCATCCTGCCGCCATTTCATTCGATCCAAAATTAGCCACTGTCTCAGAGAAACCGATATTGTAAACTGCGCCTGCCTGTTCGCAACCCGACTTCGTTACTCGAAGGCGTTCGCGCGCCCTTGATTACCGATGCGGTTGCTTCCATGCTTCAATCTAACTGAACCTGACGAGCGGCCTCATGGCGCTCGTCCTTCACGTTTTTACTGTCGAAGAGGCAGGACGTCTTTCAGACTATTAAAAATAATAAATTATAAAAATACAAAATTTATCAGTCGTACGCTAAAAGCGAATTGTTGCTGAGATTGGAATTATGGCAGTAAGTCAGAACATTTAACTTTTAAATGATTTAAAATCTAAAATTAAAATTTTAATTGTTAACCTAACTTTTGCTCTCGGACCCAAGATGGTCCTCGTTCATTCGCTCTTATTTTGAATTCTCTAAATAAATGTTATTTTGTGTTTGTTAAATGGCTTATTTCATTTGAGTTACCACTCGTTCCCACTCGATGTTTTCCTCTGAAAATTCTCAGTTATAAATATGGTTTAATTATAATTATTTGATTTTATAATATAATAATAATTATCATTAATAATACCAGGCGCGCTCTCACTTAATCGCGCCTTATAATCTTTCGCCACATTGACTTTTCCCGAGTCGACTAGTATTGTTAAATTTTATTTTATACTTCGATTGTTTATTTAATTTATCAAAACCTCGTGGCGACAGGTTATAAATTATATATTAAATATTAACTTTCAATTAATAACCTAAATTATAAAGAAGATCTATTTAAAATTCATGATAAAATTGAGAAACTAAGTGAACTAAATTAACTCAAGAAACAAAGGATGGCGCAATAAAGATTGCTGCATCCAAAGTATGTCAGTACAGAAAGAACTGGAATACTACCCCAATATTGCAAGGTTGCAATAAAGAACATTGGCAACAATAAGTTACCAAATAAAACATACTTTTTCCCACCAAAAATCAGCTCAATAAAACGAGTAGACACAAGGAGTGTCAGTCAGTAAAGAGTGAGCTCAGAGTGGAGCTTGGAGTTTGTGAGAGTTTTGAGTTGGAGTTTTGAGTCTCTGAGTTGAGAGACTTTTTGAAACAAACCTCTAGTTCGAGATTGTTTCCATTTGGAGTTTTATTGAGTTTTATCTGAGTTTTGATTTTTGAGTTGAGATTTATTTAAAGTATTTATTTTTGATTTGAGATTTTTTGACAAGAAGAGTATTTAATATTGAATTGTGATTTGATTTAAGAATATTGAGTTTTACAAAGAATTGATAATTGAAGTAGTTGAATAAAGAGAATCTGATTTTTTGAGTTTGATTTAAAGAGTATATAAATGAGTTTCTTTTGAGATCACTTAGTTTTGAGATTAAGATTAAAAATAAATAATAATTGAGTTCATGTTTTCTATTGAGTTTTGTTTATCATTAATTGATTGAGATAAAGAGAATATTAAATAATTGTAATAAATTGGAGAATTGAAATAACGTTTGAATTGAGACACGAGGAATTCCAAAAGGTAAATATACGTAAGAGTTCAGAGACTCTTGACACAATACACACACAACATTATTACACATACATACATTCACACGTAAATTGTATTAGAATACAGAATACTATAATATTGTATTATTTGGGCTATTACACAATATATATTTATATACAATTAATTAAATATTTGTTTGATCTTTTATTTAAATTATTCCTAACCAATTGTTCTGATTAATATGGATTCTCACCCAACTCACTGAATAATAGTGAGGTAAGGAAGGGATCCACTACCTTTTACAATATAATTTGTCCGAAGGGCAACGTGTGTTAAAGTACCAAAGTCTTTTAGAGTTTAAAAAAAATATCAATCTTTGATTGATATTGAATAACTTTCTAATATTCAAAATTCATCTTTAACAAACTGGTTATCTTTGATTGATATTGAATAACTTTCTAATATTCAAAATTCATCTTTAACAAACTGGTGGCAGCGGTGGGATTTCTTCCTTATATTTTTGAGAATAGTTGGTTTCGGAAATAAAAAAAAATTTTTTTTTTTTGATAAATTTTACACAAAACATTTACACAAATAATTTTTATGTGAATTGATATGAGTATATGGTTTATTTAAAAACATGTTTAGTTACAAGTGCGGGTATATCAGGTAGAATTTTTTTTTGTTCGCCAACGTCGAACATAGGGCAAAGTAACTACCCTTGAATGCCGTCAAGCTCTGGTTTCTTCAAAAAACGTGAAATTTCCTTGAATAACCTTGCCGGAAGTGTGTAGCCACTTGGGCAAGTGAGAGGATTAATACAACGAAATCGTTTGAATAACAGAAATAAAATTTTAAATTAGGCTTTTACCTCGGAATAAAGTTTTCTTTTTAAAAAAAAATAAATATAAAATTATATTTGAGTTATGCACGGTCGAAATAATAAAGTGAAATTATAAGTTGTTATGTCGTAATTTTGACGCAAAATATATAAAAGAATTGTTTAGTATAAAGAAGAGACCTAGTTAGTATAAAAGGAAATTATTTGAGAAAGAATGATGCGCGAAAATACAATCGCAAGGAACAGTTGATTTTTTTTTTTGGAATAAAAATTGAATTATTAATCATTTAAAAAGAAATAATTCCGCGAGTTAAATTAATGACTGATATTGCGAAACAGTCACTGAACTGGACATATGTGCAATCGAGTACGCGTTTAGGTTACAAAGCAGGTTATTAGGTCATTAGGCAACATGCGCGAAAAGAAGAACAGTATAATCGAGGTTTAAAAAAAAAAAATAATAAAATTTTTTTTTTGTAATTATATTTTGTCGAAATTACTGAATGCGATAGAGAAACGGTACTAAAAATACTAAATACTAATTCACCCTTTAATATACGCGTATTTCGCTAGTTTCAATTCATAAATTCAGCTAAAAAAAAGGGACAAAATGACGGATAGAGAAGAAGAAAACACGGAAACAGGAGATAACGAGGTAGAGAATTTAAATGGTACAACTTTAGCTGAAATATACAGTAACCGTACAGATTTAGGATATTCAGCGATATTAGCAAATCCTAGAAATATGCAGGCAACAGGTTTAGAAAACGCTTCAATACAAATGCACCAAGCTTTAGCGCAGTCATTAACTATTCAACAAGCAATAGCAAATGTTCCCATGTTCGATGGTAAAAATATGTCTGTTAGAGATTTTATACAAGATGTTGTTAATGCATCCGCCTGTATTACAGGACCATCAGAAACAGCATTCACAGTTGCTGTGATTGCCAAACTATCAAATAGTGCACGAGATTGTACCAGAAATAAACAATTTAGGAAGCTAACAGATTTGTTAGATCTTTTAAAAAATAGATTTGCTCCGGGTTTACCGTACGATCATTATCTCAAGTCAATAATGGAATTACGCATGCATAGAGATGAGAATATAGACGAGCTAAATGATAGGTTACAAAGTTACATAGGAGGAGCTAGGTCAGCGTTACAAGCCGAATATGCTAACAATATAGCAAAACCTATAATTGTTTCGGTACAAGACATTGCATTAAAATCTTTTATACCAGCATTACCCGACGAAATCTCATCTAAAGTGGATGATAAAGACCCTCAGAACTTAGAAGAAGCAATAGTATATGCTAAGCGAGCGCAGGAAAAAAATAACAGATTAAATAAAAATGGTTACAATTACTACCGCGCTAATCACAATGGGGGAAATTATAGACAAAACCCAAACAGATATCAAGAGAATAGAGATAGAAATTATCACAATTATAACAATCAGGGCAATTTTAATATGCCAGTACAAGATTTTCAACAAAGATATAGGAATGTAGGAAACGGTAGAACTTTTAATGACAGATTTAATAATTACAACCCTGCATCTAACAGATTCCGACCAGATTTTTATAGAAATGGTAGTCAAAACTTTAACGATAGAAACAGAGAAGATTGGAGAAGACAATATCAAGGTCAGTACCATGATAACGGATTTCAAAATTTCCATCAAAGCGGATTTAGACAGAATGATACAGGAAACGAATCAAGAACTTTAAACTGGAGCCAAGTTCGTCGGGAAGGCGCAGCGCCGAACTTGAGCCATCAAACGTGCCCAAACAATGTCAGAAATCGAGAGAATACACAATCTACACGATGAATGAATTTTTAGAAGAATCTCCAGCAACGGAATTAGAAGGGGATCAACTAATTAAGAAAAAAACAAAATTTTTTATTGATACTGGAGCAGATATCAATGTAATTAAAGGTTCAGCATTGAAAGGTGAAGCCATAGTAAATGTAAATGAAAAGTCTCATATAACAGGTATCACTTCTGATAAAGTATATACTATTGGAACAATAGATATAATAATTTTGCAGAACAAACACACTTTTCATGTGGTAGAGGACGATTTTCCCATAGCAGCAGATGGAGTTTTAGGCAGACCCTATTTAAGAGAAGAAAGAGCAAAATTAGATTTTTTTTATAACATGATAGTCACTCAATCAAAACCTACGGACCCAATACCTTTTATCGACATCGAGTCGAAAACAGCAAATAATGAAATGAAAGGCGAAGTAAAACAAGTACCGCGTTGCTTAACTTCCGTGATCTGATGAGAACTTGTTCCTTCGCCTTGGTGTTTCCGCTGTCTTGTCTTGATTATTAACTTTGTCGTATAAGTATTGTATCACACCTAACCTCACTTTTAGTGATACTTATACGACAAAGTTATTAATCAAGACAAGACAGCGGGAACACCAAGGCGAAGGAACAAGTTCTCATCAGATCACGGAAGTTAAGCAACGTTGGACGCGGTTAGTACTTGGATGGGTGACTGCTTGAATTGACATTCGACGATATTTTTTTTCGAGAAATTTAATTTGCATTTTAAAATTTCTAAAAATTTTCAGCGCAATTTTGCTACTAATTAATCTATTCTATTCTATTATTCTATTTTTAATAGAATTATAATTATACGTATAATAATACGTATAATTATACGTATTATTATACGTATTATTATACGTATAATTAATTATACGTATTATTATACGTATAATTAATTATACGTATTATTATACGTATAATTATACGTATAATTCTTGTTTCAAATTCGTATGTCTTATTATACGTATAATTGTACGTATAATAATACGTATAATTATACGTATAATAATACGTATTATTATACGTATAATTAATTATACGTATTATTATACGTATAATTATACGTATAATTCTTGTTTCAAATTCGTATGTCTTATTATACGTATAATTGTACGTATAATAATACGTATAATTATACGTATAATAATACGTATAATTATACGTATAATTATACGTACAATTATACGTACAATTATACGTATAATTATACGTATTATTATACGTATAATTATACGTGTTTTTTTTCAATAGGGACATGAAACAGATAAACTTCAAGAGGAACAATTACAAACAAATAATGAAAATGGAGGTAACAAACAATACATTGCAGAACGTGAAAGAGAAGACAATAAAGTACTAGAAAAAGAAATATTAGAAGAAATAAGAGAATCTATAAAGCGGTACGATATGAGTATTGCAGAGCACCAGTCGTATTTTTGGGACGATGAAATAATAGAAAGACCAGAGGAAGCAGAAATCGAAGAAGAACCACAAGAACAAGTTAGAACAATAGATGAAATAATTGCAGAGTTACGAGAGTTAAATAAAGATTTAGAGAAAACAACAATTAAACCCAATTTAGACAGGTTAGAAAAATTGGAATATAGAAGGGAATCTCTAACGGAAACATGGGGAAATTATGTACACTTCATGTCAGCAGACCTGGAACTCAATGATCCTGTGAATAAATTAATGTCAGCCATAGGAGCAATAGACATAAAAGAAATGAAAAGGAAAAAACAAAGAAAAGGACAAATTTTAGTCACATCTAGAAGTAAATACAAGACTTTCACAGTAATAATAAAAACAGAATATGATAAAGTAATAAACGAGGAAGATTTAAGAGAAGTACTAGTGAATCTCAGAAATGTATTATTAAGGGAAAACGTCAAATCAATTCGAATTCCACGACACACAATAACACTAGATGAGTTAGAACCAACATGGATCAATAAAATAGTAGAAATTTTTTTTAGAGATGATATACAAATCCAAGTGTGCTTTGGAGAGATAGTGATACCTCCAGAGGAATACAGAACGAAAATAATTGCTGCATATCATGATAGTCTAATAGCGGGTCATAAAGGAGTAAATAAAACTTATCACAGAATTAGGGAAAAATATACGTGGCCAGGGTTAAGACAAGATATAACAGAGTATATAAGAAAATGTAGAAGCTGTGCGCAAAAGAAAATAGTACGAAATCAAAATAGAGAAAACATGATAATAACAGATACACCTCTAGATGCATGGGAAAGAGTATCTCTTGACACTGTTGGAAAATTACCAACTACAGCGAATGGCAACTGTCATGTTTTAACAATGCAAGATCAGCTCAGCAAATATAGTATTTTTGTAGCAATACCTGATATTAGCGCTACTACAATAGCACATGCAATAGCCACTAATTTATTCTCAGTATACGGAGCACCAAAATGTATACTCACTGATCAAGGCAGGTCATTTACAAGTGACCTCTTAAGAAAATTGGCAAAAATATTCAAAGTATCACAAGTCACAACAACAGCCTACAGGCCCCAAACAAATGGAGGATTAGAGCGCAGTCATGCCGTGTTAGCAGAATTCCTAAGACACTATGCTAAAACAAAAGATGACTGGGACAGACTCCTCCCTTATGCAATGTTCGCGTATAACACGTCTGTACACGAAGCTACTAAGTTTACACCATATGAAGTAATATTCGGAAAAATAGCGAGAACACCATCAATCTTCCCAACACCAGAAAAATTAGAAACTTATGAATCATACATAAAAGAGTTAGTAACAAGACTGATTGAAATTAGAAGAATAGTAGCCAAAAACATCATACAGAGAAAAGAAAAGGTAAAAGAAAATTACGATAATAAAACGACACCCCTAAACATAAAAGTAGGAGATTTCGTAGATGTGAAAGAGGAAGTCAGAGCGGGAAAATTCTCTCCATATTACCACGGACCATACAGAGTAGAAGAAATAACAGAAAAAAACAACTTGATTCTAAGCGACGCCGAAAAAAAAAGATTTCGCAAACACAAGGATCAAGTAAAAAGAGCCTTTTTATGACAAAATAATACTAAAGGATTCATAAAAGATGAAGAAAATTTTATCAATGTTTATACCGACGGTGCCTGCAAAGCAAATGGCAAACCACACGCTAAAGCTGGCATAGGTATATGGTTTAACCATAAACACTCTCTAAACGTTAGCGAAAGAGCAAGTAAAAAACAAACTAATAACAGCGCAGAAATCGAAGCCATTATGAGAGCTATCGAAATAATAAAATTACTAGGTTATAAAAAAATTAGAGTACATACAGACTCTAAATTTGCGATAGAAGGACTAACAAATTGGGTACCAAAATGGGAAAAAAATGGTTGGAAAACTAGTCGTAAACGGGATGTTCTTAGTAAAAACAATTTCAAAGAAATGAAAAAAATAATAAAAGGAATAACAGTAGAGTTAATATATGAACCGGGTCATAGTGGAATAACCGGAAATGAAGAGGCAGATAAATTAGCTAAATTAGCAATAGAATAATACACGAAAGAATTATTAAGATACTATTAACTAAGAAACACATTGTAATTTATGTTTACAGAAAAATGAACTACGCAATAGGAATACTATTACTAACCGTATGGATAATCAAAATAACGTATGCAGAAATCGAAAATGAAGACATTAGCATAATAACAATGAATAAAGGTATAGGCATATACTTTGAAAGAATGCCCGCAATACGTAGAGTAGCAGGTTCCTGGAGAACAGCAGTGATACTGAATACGGAAAATTTTAAGTCACAGTTCAAGGAGTTAGACGAGGGTTTAAATGCTACAGAAAAGGCGTGTAAACAGATTTTAGGATATAATTGCGAACAATTCGTATCACATGAAACAATAAAAAGTAGGGTAGCAATATTAAAGTTAAAATGGAAAAAGCTGGAAAAAATCATCGGAGATCTAAGAAGACACAACAGAATAGAAAAAAGGAATAAAAAAAACAGAAAAATAAATAAAAGAAATGCACCATTAATAAGTGTATTAGGAAAAATAATCGGACCAACTATAGGTTTACTTACTTATGACGAAGGGGAAAATTATAAAGAAATAATGAGGGATCTAAATGAGGCTCAAAGGAATATTTCACATTTAGTAGGAGAACAGACACATGTAGTAAGAGCAGAATTGCATACGCTCTACGATATGGCAGAAAAACAACATAACTCATCGCAACACTCGAGAAAGGAATTAATAAAAACTGAAAGAGAAATACTAGATTTAAAAAATCAAACTAGTATAATAGAATACACAGGAAATTTAAGAGAACAAATAATAAGATGGACTAGACAAGTAGATACTTATGAGCACAATTTAGATCATACTTTAGAAATCTTAAAAGAAGCAAAAGAAGGACATCTTTCTTCAGAATTGTTATCAGACGAACAATTGATAACAATAGCAACGGAAGCAAAAAAATATTTAAAGGACCAAGAATTTCCCATGCCTATAGACGAAATAAGCACAACAACAATCAGTAAAATAGCGGAAGTAAAATTACTAATAGACACAAATAATTTAATTCTATCGTTAGACATACCTTTAGTGGAAGAAAAAGTTTATATACTCTACAGGATGCATGAACTACCAGTCAAACAGGACAAAAAAAATAATAATAGCAATAGAGCATACATACTACCGCATTCCAGATATTTAGCTATAACAGCCAACGAAAGATTTTACTTTTATTTGACAGAAGAACAATTATCCAATTGCTATCTAACTAATGAACAATATATTTGTCACCACAAATACGGGGCATATGATATACTTTTAACACCTAGCTGTGAACCAGAATTAAGAAGAAAACCCACAAACGAAACCCTAAGAAGTTGCGACGTACGGATAACTAAGGACCAACAACCACTATGGGAACCACTAACAACTACGGGAAGTTGGCTCTATTCACTAGTGAAGAATGAAACACTATATCTGAAATGTAAAGACAAGGAACCTGAAACCTACCAAATAAGAGGAATAGGAATAATCCACGTAAGTACAAAATGTACACTAACAATTGACGCAGTACAGTTGCCAGTTTTAGCGATAAAAGAAAATCCGCACCAATATACATATAAACCAAAATTAGAACTGAAACTAGAACACATATCACCCATAACAAAGAAACTAAATTCACAAAAAATCAACGACGAAAACAATAAACTACACCCGTATTGGAAAAAAATGGAAACAAATGTAACACTAAAAGAACTGGAAAAAGAATTAAAAACACAAAGCCTACACACACTAGGACAATTAGAACATAATCACTATTCAAATTATACATTAGCAGTGTGCATTACACTAAGTATAATCATAATAATAAGTCAAATAATAATTTGCATAAAAAAGAAAAAACTCGTTCCTAAAAACAACAAAACACCCAAAAGAAAGAAGAAATCAACAAAAATCATGGAAGAAAATTATGAATTACCTTCTCTAATAAGTACCGTCCAGAACACAAACGCTACAAACAACGAAACGGAAAGAAATTCGAGCATTGAAAATACCTCAAAGGAAACAAAAATTACCTACACAAAGAATAAATCGAGAGGAGTAATAAAACAAGATATAGATATACATTAAAAAAAAAAAAAAAAAGAAAAGAATAGGGAAGAAGAAAAATCCAAAATAACGCGGAAGTAAAATTTTTTTTTAAAAAAAAAGAGAAGATATATATTTAAATATCTAAGAAAGTTAAACTAATCGAAAAACACATGTACTTAAATATACACGTACAACAATACTGTATCATGAATACATAAGTAGATAGTATCGATTAGCAACCTAAAAAAATCAGTGAAGACGGAAGTACCCCTAATAGGTACAACGGTCTAAAAATATGTAAGACGGAAGTACCCCTAATAGGTACAACGGTCTAAAAATATGCAAGACGCATAGAAAATATAATCCTCAATCTCAGCAGTCATGAAGAAAAGTTTGGCCCATTAAATCCTATAAGGTCCACCTAAAAAAAGGGCTTTATTTAGAAAAATTACTAAACAAATAAAACAATAAAAATAACAAGAAAAGATAACTCACCTTCAATGATACAAAAACAGGAACAAGTCAACGGAAAAAAAACTGCAGAAGTTTACCTAAAAAAAGGGCTTTATTTAGAAAAAACTACTAAACAAATAAAACAATAAAAATAACATGGAAAGATAACTTACCTTTAATGACATGAATATGAAAACAAACCAATCATCAAATAATGCAAAAAGATTTTACCTACAAAAAGGGTTTTATTTAGAAAAAGTAGTAAAGAAATAAAACAATAAAAAGAACATAAAAAGAAAACTCACCTAAAAAAAAAGGGGGAAGATTTTTTTTTTCCAAAGGCTATTCCTAAAAAAAAAATATATGTATAAAACAAACGAAATTTTTTTTATAAAAAAAAAAACTTACCAAAGCCAACAACAAAAGTAAACAATAAAAGAAAAATATATATATTTAAAATACAAAAAAGGGATTAAATTAAACATACAGGTAAATAAAAGATTAAAAGACGACAAGTCAAAACATTGACTCAGCGAAAACACGGGTAATATGACACGCGCACTCGCTAGGCAGAACAGAAAGAAAAATTTTTTTTCAATTTAAAGATTTAATAAAAAAAAAATAATAAGTAAATAAAAAAAAGAGGATTAAATACGTAGATAGAACAAAAGGGAAGGAAAAATATTTAAAAATATAACATACCAAAAAGGATCCAAGATTTTTTTTTTCTCTTCATATCGTACAATAAATAAACAAAAACACAATATAAAAAAAAATAAAAACACACAGACACGCACATAAAAAAATTTTATACACAAAACACCACACCAAAAATTTTTCTCAGAAAAATAATAATAATATTAAAAAAAAACAATTAAAACACAATCACAATCGAAAAGTGACACGCGCGCGGTAATGAAACTAATGACTGAAGGCCAAGCGGGAGCGCGGGACGAAACACGAGGGGAAAACAATACAGCGCGGAACCGTAAGATGTGGACACTCATACGTAAAAGGGGAATGCACCTTCAATAGTCAGAAACGGCTGACATCATATAAACAAAAAATGTGAATTGCCAAATAACCACAAGTTAGAAAAATTTATAAAATATCATATATGTTTCGTGTTCACTATATTATTAAGAAACTAAAACTTACTATCATTTAAAAAAAAAAAAGAAGGGAGGTGTCTAAAAAAAATTTATATATAACAAATATAAAAAAAAATAAGAAACTTTCTCAATTAATTACGGTAAAATTTTTATTTAAAAAAAAAAGAAAGTTCAGAAGGAAGGATACAATGAATGTAATAAAACATTTCTTTAACACAGTACATTAATTTATTTTACAAAAACATACGTTTTTCACGCTACAATAACTCTATGGGTACAATGTGAGGTGTAAGAGTAAAATTAAAATGAGTAGTGTAATTATATCGAAAAAAAAAATTTTTTTTGTATAAAAGAAAAAAACAAAATTAATTAATAATACAAATAAATAACAGTTATTAACACAATAAAAACAAAAAAAAAGGGACAATTTAACATTCATGCCAAACTGCTGAAATCCGAACAGCCCAACGCTAAAAAAAAAAAGAAGGGAGAGGGTAATTTTTTTTATATGGAAAAAAAATAACACAAAATAACAAAAATTTTTTTTTTTTTTTCCTTAAGAAAAAATAAAATATCTAATAATGAAACAAGAAAAATTTAGAAACAAACTCACCGCTTCCCACCTACTCTTGACGAATGAGATCTCTTCCCACTCTGATCCATAGACCTGAACGAA